AGAGAACTATTGTCAAATAGGCCCATACATTTGAATACTATGACATGCTAGAGAACACAGGCTGAAGTTCAAAGTCACGGTAAGTTCAACACCCAGGTACCTAACACTGATCACTGAACCTCAGGATGCCCTTTCCTGATTTCAGGAACGTATTCCAAATAGCATCTTGCTATCCTTATCCTAACAAACACATGGGCTTATAAGCAAGATCCTTTGCAGTGTTTCTTGCCTTGTGTGCCCCACATTGCCCAGCGTCCAACAAGAAAGAACAAGGATATGGAGCAGAGAGAATCCACAACAGCCAAGAACTGTAGTTGCCTGGTCCGCACCCTGTTGTCTAAGAGATTACCCAGGCTGTTGGGTAGCATAAAGTTAGAAACAGTTAGGCTTGCACACACCACTGTCACATACAGAATCCTTTTGTTTTTGTGTAAATATTCTAAATTATATTTGTTAAACTCCTGATTTGGGGGTGGGCATTAGAGCACATGACAGGTCACCTTCACAGTCCAACAAGTCACCTTCACAGTCCGACAAGCCTGGAGTGGCAGGTGTTGGAACAGGATATTTGGCTTTAGCACAAAAGACTGAAATATTTCTTGTTCTGTGTCCCTATGCTCATGTTATAACCGGAAACAACCTTTCTGGCCCCAGACACCTTTGGAGTGATGAGAGTGGCCCTTAAGGAAGGGAAAACCAATTCTGAAATATTCTTCAAAGAGTTTTAGGTTCAGGTGTGAATGTGTGTGTGTATGTGGGGGGGGGAACTCCATTTTGGAGTCTTAAGAAAGGGATAAATCACACCTCATGTTAATTTTTAAAAGAGCAGCCCATATTTCCTATACACAGTGCAGATCTCCTTGATTCTAACTTAAGCCCATTTGCACAAAGTTGACCTTATTATGACCTCACATTTCCAGGAGTTCAGTGAAAAGAGAGGAGATGAAGCAATGGAAAGGGCAAAGAGGGCAGTGGTACTTAGCACTGAGTAGAAGATTTGTGCAATACATATACACCTATCCAGACATGGGCATATGTACACATAAATTGACACAAAATGACACACACACATCAACATGTGCATTTATATACATTAACAAAAAATGATTTATACAGTGACACACACATGCTGGGCTACATGTGATACTGGCAAATACAGGCATTGACATAACAAACACAGATAGATAAATAGACAGATAGGTAGATAGATAGATATTGACATAGATATTGATATATATATATATTGATATATAGATAGATAGATATTGATATACATATCTATATAGTGACCTATTCATAAACGACTTACACACATATACAAAGGTATACAGAATCAGATGCAATGACATGCCCTCATGTGACACACATAAACATCCATATACACATCCATGCACACCTGCATAAACATGCACACACATGTTAACACACACAAGCCTTGATCAAAACAGTGACCATACACATTCAGGTATAGGCATACACACTTATAAATGTACCTCATGTTGATACACACACATACAAAGTGACACATGTTCACTGACACACGTTTGTATGCATTGATACACACATTAACACAAATACGATGACATCCTCACTCATGTATTCACACACATACTCAAATACTCAGAACATGTACAACACTGACACACATTCTCAAGCATTGACATAGCACATAAGTAAAACTAACTGATACCCAATTTATTGACATACACAGCCATTATACAATCACCTATGAACACATATTCATATTTTAACATATATTGATTAATATATTATACATTAATATATTAATGAGTATATATGTTCATGTGTGAAATTATGCTTTAACATATATAAATACATTTATAGCTGCATGATACATCCTGTTGGATTTATATCACAAACATATATGCAGGTCACTCAAATTGACACTTATTTACATATTCAGAGACACACTGACATACACACTCATATTTTTACGTTCACACACGTACAAAATATACACACTAACACGCACATGTTGGCCTATACAGTGGACATATACAATCAGTGTTGATGTCGACATATCATTACACAGGCTCACACATAGTCACACATGTGTACTGACATACACATATGCACACACACACACACACTGGTACATTTTCACACACTAACAATACAGGCTGACATTCTCACATCTACTGAGATGTTCACACTCATGAATTGCTATATTATTATACATACACATACACCACAGACACAATGATATATTTTTGACACATGGAGATAATAACACATATTCAGGTGTAATTGACAACAATATTGATAACACTTGCACGTAGTTAAGTGCACAAATGTATATACTCCAAGCTTTTGTGGCTACCACTTGTGCTTAAATGTGTATTAATGGATATATAATTGTGATATGTTTCCATGCAAATTCTAAAGGGCAAATCCTTAATCTGTGCTGTTTAGAAAGCTATATCTTCTAAATAAAATAAGAAAAGAACTCTTAGGTGTTCTTCTTTTTTTAGACGGTGGGATCTGTATGCCTTTTCAAACAAGCTCCCTGTGATCCTCTAAGTATTCTAAATTGGCTTTTCAATGATCTCCAGAAGTATGCCTTGGGGTTCCAACACGTACTGAGCCCCTCAGCCTCTAGCTGTAAACATAAAATAGAAGACATAGAGGGTGGACATCACAAATTAGCCTCTGAAAACTGCTACAGTGTCTATGCCGGTCAACTGAACATGGATTACATGGCCAATAGACTTCAAAGCCTATGTCTAGAAATGATAGCAGACAAAAACACCAACAATAACCAGAATCCTTCCACCCCTCTAGCAAAATCTCCTAATGCTCAGAGGGCAGTAATCACTCCTGACAGACAATGTCCTTTAGATGACCTTTCCTACTATGTCAACCAACTATCTTCTCCGGTAATCCAGATGGCCCATAAGGACATCAAGGGCAAGTTAGAAGGTGGAAGGAAATGCTTTCATCATGCAATCTATCCAACCTCTGGGGACAAAGCAGAAACCAGACTCCGAAATACTTTGAGCAAGATCATTTATGAAATGGCCCATGATGCCATGGAACTGACCTCTGCAGAAATGCGGACCACTGGGGAGGAGTGCCGGGAAGGTGACCAGAAAATCCTTCTGCTTAGTGAATTAATCCACAAGAACAAGAGGGGAGACAAACAGTTGGGCCAAAAAGACAGCAAAGAATTTGCAGATTCTCTCAGCAAAGGACTCATGGTTTATGCAAATCAGGTGGCATCTGACATGATGTTTTCTGTTAAGAAGGTCTTGAAAGTGCACACCTTTGGGAAGCCAATTCCTGCCTGTGTGGTCCTGAAGAAAGTGTTGTTAATACATACCAGCGAAATTGTGTCCGATTTGATTGACTCCTGCATGAAGAACCTGCATAAGATCACTGAGGTCCTGATGACTGACACTGACTTTCTCTCAGTTGTCAAGAGGAATCTGTTCAACAACGGTAAACAACATGCTGCAGATATTATGGAGGCCATGCTGAAGCACCTGGTCACTGCTTTTCTTGGCGCAAGGAGGGAGACTAAAGTGCAGAGCCTGTCATCCGCATTTTTGAAAGCGGGGGCCCATGATCCCAAGTGCAAGAACCAAAGTCTCGAATTCTCCAGCATGAAAGCTGAGATGAAAGGGGACAAAACCGAAATAAAAGCAGATAAATGCAAGGCATTGACCAGTGCTGAGAAAGTTGGTGAACACATCCTCAAGGAGAGCTTGAGCATGTGGAACCAAAAACAAGGAAACCAAGGCAAGATCGCTATC